ATTAACCAGGAAACAGGATTGAATTAATCATGAAAATTTCTAAACAGCAATGTGTATCTTAATGTACCGTGGTTTATGAAATAGCTTGTACCATGCTAATTCATATTAGTATAATATAAATAATGTTTAATGCAAAAACAATAAATATGTTTCTATAACTTGTCTAGGAGTTTTGTAAGATGATGAATTCAGCACCTATTAGGGTTGACGACCATGAAGTGAATGCATTCCTAAAATTGGAAATGGCACAGAGGGGTAAGCATGAAAAGATCTGTATATCTCATGGGATGATATTTTCGCTATTACGTAATCATTGACGCGATCGCAAAAATTTGATCCGAGAAATATCATGTATAACTGACCATTATATGACCATTTGGATATCACATACCTACTCAGCCTTCGAGTCCTGCTATTCAGACTATCGGGTTAATGCTTTCAGGTATTCTACCGTTATGTATTATTAAGATTGTTGAAAATCTTCGTAGAATTTAAACATTTTGAGGAATGAACTAAACAACACATGTCTCTTTCAATTTTTATCTATTTGCACAACCATTACAGGATTTGGCCAACTGTTACTTGCATTAAACGACAGGAGTGTGGTGAATAAATGGGTTTGGAGCCCTGGTGATGAAGTACAAAATCCATTGTGGATGCGTGGTCAACCTAACGGCCGCGGTAATCAAAACTGTGTCATCCTGGTATCAAGTGATCCGGCTGGATGGAATAACATATCTTGTTCAAAGAACTTCACTATCGCCTGCAATGTTTGGTATAAAATATCTCCATAGTAACTCTACTAAATACTGTTTCTCAACTAACAATAGCAGCCTTCAAAAGTTTTATGAGCAAAAATGTATCAAAGAAAACCAGAAAAAAAATTGTATGAAACAGAACTGTAGACAGCACATAATGTGAAAAGCAAAGAGCGTTGCGTCCTATGTTTTGTGATTCCTCAACCTGTATTGTTTACATACCACTGTTGATTCGGTATTCAAGGCCATTATCAAGCAGTCGTCAATTGACGGACAAACTCGTAACACAGGGTTTCAAAAGTTACAGGTTGATGGAAATTAGGACGATTTTTTATGGTCGCCATAGTGATCTCATTGAGAAATATCCTATATCTTGGTGCGACATGATGCTGGACGCATTTGATGCTCGTTGGTTTGCCTGCTGATTCCATTGTTGTAGACCATCTTCTTATTTGTGAATGAGGCGTTACTTACTTGGATTGATTAAGGTCTACATGGCGGGTGTCGTCGATGAAGCAGAAGACGCTTACTCCTTCGGAACACTTGGGATAATTCTCCTTGTGCTTTTATCGGGAATCTCTATGTAGATATTTATTTTCTTCACCTTTTGATCATGCCCAAGTCTTATTGAATTTGTATTTGATTTATGAATATGTTGACATGTTGACATTGTTTATTTTTGTTTTTGTTTATTTTTTGTCAATTTTGTCATTTTGACATACCAAATAAGTAAAAGATAATTATGGCGTTTGTGTAAAAACGAGGCACATTGTTATTTATATGGTGGTAATTGATACTGTCAAAACATTCACCCGATAATCTCTGTTTTTCGGTATTGGCGGCATAATAATGTTTAGATATCTAAAGCATTACAAATTGATATTCGTAGTGGAAGGCGAACTCGAATTTCATTTTCGGAAATATAGCTTGGGGATTAACTCTGTGTTCCTTTTTATTATTAAATGTGCTTACAAAATATAGTCTTCATTCATATCTATCATAGATGAACTTGTTTGATAAAACGCATTGACACAAACATCTCCAAAATGTCTGGTAGATAAAAAACAAAAACAAAAACGCGAGACCTACGATCCTGTTTGAATTATGCATGTTGTCTCGTCAATGTCAATTCGTTGTTTTAATCATATCATGTTTAATTGAATTTTAATCACTCTTTGGACATTTACTTGTAAAAAAAAAAAACAGTTTAAAACTTAAAACAACTTCGTTTTGTTTGTATTGCGACGGTGAAGTCACATGCCAATGATCTGTTTTGAATCGGCATAAGAATATTTTTTCTACTGGATTGTTGTAAATGGACTGTTGTTAACAATTCAAATCTTTGTATGATTTAAAAGAATGTATGTACACTATTTATAATTCTGTGACAATATTTCTTTCATGTCAGATGCAAATTTGAGAACGCGGAGAACTTTTAAAATCCATTTTCTTTATGCATTGTAATGAAGGAGTTTCAAACTTAAACGGTAAGGTAATCAATAGAGTTTGGACTCGGTCTCCTTGATCCACTATAACCGTTAATCTGTATTATGAAGTATTCTAAAAATAAAATCTCAGCATTGTTATCTGTGAAAAGTGTCTAGATAATAAATGGTTGGGGCTACACGTGATTGATTTTTTTGTGATTTAACATAAAACAACAAATCAAGAGTATTTATATTATGGATTGCTCTGAGTCACAGCTTTTTGTAGAATCAAGATGAATAAGAAAGGTAAAGGCATATCCTTATTGAAACCGTGGGTACTTAAAACTGAGAGGCGAAGCCCTCGTAGATATACACAAAATTAACATTTGGAATGGACGGCGAGTGAATGTCAAGGGACAAGATTGTAAATATAAATCTAAAATATAAACTTTATTTATCTTACAAGAATTGCGAAACAAGTTATGTCAACTTATACTGATCACTCTTGTTGGCCCGGATTTAAGCGCGCGGGGGGTCTTATTGTGAGAGGAAACCGGAATACCCGGGGAAAACCCACGTGGTCGGCAAGGTGACCCCTGGCCTTTTCACGTCCGTTCCGGGAATCGAACCCCGGTTGGCTAGGTGAAAGGCGAGTCCGTTATCAACCAACCACCCAAGGGACAAGATTACGTTTTAATATCAGAAAAAATGATACAAAAGTAGGTTAAAATCAATATGAGGATACACAAGTGAATATCAACCTTCAACTTAAATTAAAATAAGGTGCAATAAACGCAAGCAATTAACTGACCTATTGAACTGCATTATACAGCTGTTTCGTTCCACTAAGACACGTTAATGATGACGGGAAAATCGAAAGATAACGAAAGAAATGTTCAACTCAAGGCGGGGTGATGTACAAGCCCTATAATTCAGTGTATTTAAAAAATCGTAATATCCTTTGATATCGTGCAACATCCTATCCTTTGATATCGTGCAACATCTCATCCTTTGATATCGTGCAGCATCTTATCCTTTGATATCGTGCAACATCTCATCCTTTGATATCGTGCAACATCTCATCCTTTGATATCGTGCAGCATCTTATCCTTTAATATCGTGCAACATCCTTTGATATCGTGCAACATCCTATCCTTTAATATCGTGCAGCATCTTATCCTTTGATATCGTGCAACATCCTATCCTTTAATATCGTGCAACATCTCATCCTTTGATATCGTGCAACATCCTATCCTTTAATATCGTGCAGCATCTTATCCTTTGATATCGTGCAACATCTCATCCTTTGATATCGTGCAGCATCTTATCCTTTGATATCGTGCAACATCCTATCCTTTGATATCGTGCAGCATCTTATCGTTTGATATCGTGCAGCATCTCATCCTTTGATATCGTGCAGCATCTCATCCTTTGATATCGTGCAACATCTTATCCTTTAATATCGTGCAACATCTTATCCTTTAATATCGTGCAACATCCTATCCTTTAATATCGTGCAGCATCTCATCCTTTGATATCGTGCAACATCTCATCCTTTGATATCGTGCAGCATCTCATCCTTTGATATCGTGCAACATCTCATCCTTTGATATCGTGCAGCATCTTATCCTTTGATATCGTGCAGCATCTTATCCTTTGATATCGTGCAACATCCTATCCTTTAATATCGTGCAGCATCTTATCCTTTGATATCGTGCAGCATCTCATCCTTTGATATCGTGCAGCATCTCATCCTTTGATATCGTGCAACATCTCATCCTTTGATATCGTGCAGCATCTTATCCTTTGATATCGTGCAGCATCTTATCCTTTGATATCGTGCAGCATCTTATCCTTTAATATCGTGCAGCATCTTATCCTTTGATATCGTGCAACATCTCATCCTTTGATATCGTGCAGCATCTTATCCTTTGATATCGTGCAACATCCTATCCTTTAATATCGTGCAACATCCTATCCTTTAATATCGTGCAACATCCTATCCTTTGATATGATTATATTTGTAATTACATTAAAAGTTTGAGAAACTGGACATGTTCATGTCTTGTTATTCGGAAATGATAAAGAAATGCACTAAATAGACATGTACAATCTCACTTTGCGTTGACAAAAACATTATTGACATACACGAAAACTTACTTTCGGTTTCTGTTTCTTTAATACAAATATACACAGACGACCATTGTGTTACAACGTCAAATTTGGACACCATGGTGTTAAAATACTTGTGTTCTTCGCTTTTTTATGATCAAGTTTGCATGATGATACTACAGTATATAACCGTAACAATATATTCATCGCTTAAACAGGAAGTTTGTAGAAACATTTGTCAAGAAAAACATTTCGTTCCACCATGTGAATATAAACTGTTGTATTTTCTAATGTTAATATCTTGGCCGTTCTTTTGTGTTTAATCTGTACATAACGTACATCGCCAAGAATTGACAATGGCGACAACGACACTTTACAAACAGTCATGCGTTATATAATGATTACACCTTCGTACATTCACGTTCGAAATGCCTTGCAGGTTATTTTCATTACATGGGTACAATTCCGATAAATGACAATATCAAATTTCAATTGGTGTTATATTAATCAACAAATGATAAGTTCTTGCTTGCCATTTGATATACTTTCAATCCAAAAATAAGTATGTACGAAATAGGGACAGGGAGTGAATTATTATTATTACTTTAGACAAGGAAGTAATATAGTTTCAGTTTCCTCATCTGGATGTGATAAGTACCCTATATACAGTGTATTGTGTTTGGAGTTCCTGAAGCGCTCTATACACCAACGTTTCCTGTTAAGCGGACCGACAGAATATTCATACGGAGCTTACCACATCAAGGCACAGAGATTCATTTTTATTGAAAAAGGTAAAATGTTTTACTAATAATTCCATCATGGATAACCTAAGAAGATTTTTATCGTTAAATGGACTAAATGGTTAGATTTCATCATTTTTTCCCATGCATTTGATTTCGGGCAAGCATTGTAAGATTAAAACTAAAATTCGATTCTTCACAAAATTATAACACTCTCCGAGAGAAATTGAAAAAAGATTATCCGTTTCAAACTAACGCTTGTCGACACTCGCTGTTTTGTCTATCATCAATCGCTGTTTAGATCAGAAATGGCCAAGTTCATGACGTGACCTTTCGGAGCCTCGTTTTCACCTGCCGTTTTGATATTATTTCTTACTATGTATAATTATGTAATTAACCAAAACTTAATTTACCAGCCATGTTTCAATTCTTACTTTGTAAAAGTACCTCTTGTTTCACACTATATGATGTCATGAGATGGCCTAGTAAGATTGGAGTGAGGTTTTTCTGAAAATACCATATCCATATAAACTTGTATACTTAATTTTTTGGATACCCTCGTCTTACAACGTACCGTGGACATTCTTGTAGCGTATTGTGAGTTTTCGTAGTTGGAGTTTCGTGAACTTACTGAATTTCTGTTTATCTGGACATGACCGATACAGGTAAAATCTCAGGTGCTCAGGGTCACTCAGGTGAGTTAATCAACAGTGAATCAAAGCACCCCGTTTATTACCAGGTAACAAGCCTATCTATCTACATACAGGTACTGTTCCATTAGTTGATTCTGGAAATAAACGGGACATTAATCAAATTTCACCGCACAATTCCTCCCAAACAGACCTGAAACGTTCTTTTACAGTATGAATCACCTGGTCAAGCTAACCAGTCTGCTGGTATTTCGATTCACGATTTCGCGCCTACTCCAGCTTTCACCTTAGTGAGACGGACAGAGTATATCAAACCGTATCGGACCCCTGTTTTATAAACCATTTAGTTCAAATATTTGCCGTTCCGTGGCGGAAGCTGTTGCAAAAGCTAGACAGTGTCTTCAATGAAAAAAAAATATTCAAAACTACCAGATGACAAAATGCGCCATTTCTTTGAAAATAAAGAATATATCAAAAAACATTGTGTCTGGTTCTTTGGAAACTAACTTTAAACACCAAATAGAACAACAAATTTCTATCCTACAAAATATTATTGAAACAAAGAATGTCGAGCTCTCAGCTCTTAGACAGAAAATAAAACATTTAGAATCTATTCAACGTTCAAACAGCAAAATGACGTTTCAGATGAACACGAACGATATTCCAGACGTACATATCTGTAGTTTGTAAATGTACCTATTGACGGCTAGGCAAATTTCTACTCTTTAAAATCGGTGCTTAATATCTGTTACAGCATGTTGAAGATTGCGGTCAAAAGTGATAAACAATAAGATGAGTAGATTAAAATAGATGAGTAACATTTAATACTTAGTCAAAATGTATATCAAAGCATACAACCTCTGCAACAGTTTGTGCTTACTTTTGCAATATGGAGGTCTTATATATACATTTTTCTATGTTTTCCCCTTTCAATTTTCATTTATTTCTGGTTCGAGTAGCCTGAATGTAGATTGACAAGTTGTAATACAGTGTGTTACGTATACATTAGTTATCTACAACCATAAGTGTGTCCTCGGGACTCCAGCTGTCATACGATATGATTATACATTGTAATATGATTATCATTACTTTTTGTATAGTCAGTGTGTAAGGGTGTGTGCGTATGTGCGCGCACATGTTGATATACATTTCAAATACAGGTAATACATATATATGTGTGGAAGTATTTGAGTGAATGTGTACATGGGTAGGTGGATGAACTCGTTAGGGAGTGTATACCTATGTATATACAGATGTTAAAGTGATTAATGTCATTTTTGTTGTACTCGTATTGTCAGCAAAAATGGGAAAAAAATCTACATGAATACTTGAGTTTCATAATCGTTCCATTGACTGAATTCTTGTTTCTGCGTCCGACAAATGAACTGTCTAATTTGTGGTGGTCAGGAGGCGGGCATATGTACGGAATTCAGTCGTTGGCACTGTCAGAAATCGTCTTGATAATTACTCATAATATATATACATATAAATTAAAACAATTCTCTAAACTTGGTCGTGCTTTAAGTAATAATAAGATTAATGATAACATTAAGTAAGGTTATACGTTTCTCCCACGACGTGTTTGTGTATGTCGGCGTGTGTTTTGCTTCATGCATGTGTGTTTTGGTGTATAGCTTTACCTTTCTTTGTAGAGTTGGTTGTATGCAGTCTAGATTTTATTGTTAAGAAATTCTTAAAATTCACACGCGTGGTGAAAACAATTATGTTTAATGAATTCTATTTTGTAAATGAGTACTTTTTAAATAGGGTTATTAAAAGTTTCTATATATTACTAATAATGCTTGATTAAATGTAAACGAAGCCTCTTTATCGGTCTATCCTTCAAAATTCATTGTATACCAAATACAACTTTTATTTCCCTTTTTAGTTTATAACTCCTTTATCTCTTTTCTACTTTTATTTTGATCAATTTTCTTACTGTGATCGCCAAACTCAAAAATATGTCATTCGCTTTCTGTAGACCATCTTTACATTTTTCTTCCAAAGTGTTGTTAACCAAAACATTGAACCCGTACATCAAGCAAGGGGCGTCGATTACTGCCCACACATCAATCAAGAATGTGGTCAATTACTGCCCACACATCCATCAAGAATTGGGTCAATTACTGCCCACACATCCATCAAGAATGGGGTCAATTACTGCCCACACATCAATCAAGAATGGGGTCAATTACTGCCCACACATCCATCAAGAATGGGGTCAATTACTGCCCACACATCCATCAAGAATGGGGTCAATTACTGCCCACACATCCATCAAGAATGGGGTCAATTACTGCCCACACATCCATCAAGAATGGGGTCAATTACTGCCCACACATCAATCAAGAATGGGGTCAATTACTGCCCACACATCAATCAAGAATGGGGTCAATTACCACTCATACATAAATCAAAAGGTCAATTACGGCCCGACTGGCATGAATACCAGTACAATCAAACATGTATAAGACAATGCAAATAGAGTGAAAATTACCAGTACAGTGGAACAAATATACAACAAAGAGATACCATTATTCGAAACCTTTTTGTGATCAACGGGTGACCAATGATCATCAAATATTTAGTAAATTTAACTTTAATTATAATTCTTCACTGCACTGATGTTAGCGTAGTCCTGTCATTCTAATCAACACACTGAATATATACAAAAAACCAGGAACAGTTTCAACATCTAGAAAAGAACAGTCCATCGATATGTTTTGCCCTACTGACTGACAAACACAAGTTCATAATGTGTCATCTGCATCACACAACCACTTTCCTTCAATCATGGCTAGGATCCAACATCGACTCTGGAAGAAAAGTAAACCTGGCACAGACTCTATTCAAAATGAAGGGGTAGGGTGGGAGGGTTTCCTCTTGTTCACCGTGAAAAAAACGGAAATGAAAGGTCGTTTCCGGTGTAAAAACAAAAGGTCTAAGAGGGCTGAACATTATCGAGTGGATGATGGGAGGTAACTCGCGTTGGAAATCAAAAATATTAAATAGTTATTTATTAAATATTAATAATTTGCATTATTTTCAATCTATTACCGACCCTGATAACTCTTATGAATCCTTGTCCTATTTATTATAGGTGTGTTAAATGTCACTCCCCAAGACGTAGTAGATATTATTCAAAGTTACGACGTAAACAAAGCCTCAGGACCATACAGAATAAGCCATACAATGTTAAAACTAGCAGTCAATGAGAATGCAGTACCCCTTTCGATTTTATTTAACGAGTCTCTTAACATATGCCAATTTCAATGTTCTCGGAAACTTGCTCTTGTTATACCACTTTGCAAGAAATGTTATTTTGAGCTTCCAGAAAGCTACCCACCAATTTCGTTATTAAGCTGTATTGGGAAAGTTTTTGAACGTATCTTATATAAATATATATATCATTATTTTGTTGATTAAAATTTGTTGTATAAACTACAGTCTGGGTTTCTTCCGAACCACTCTATTACTCATCAGCTAATAGAAGTTTACTATAAAATTTCAGCTGCTCTAGATAATAAAGAACATATAGCGATTATCTTTTGTGTTTTTTTCGAAAGATTTCGATCGTGTTTAGCACAGGGGAGTAATTTTGAAGCTTGGAAATTATGAAATTACAGGAAAGTTACTGAAATGGTTTGGATACTATCCCTCTGAGAGAAAAAATCAGTTGTTATGAAAAAGTGTATTGAAAGAATTCTTAAAGCTGGAGTTCTTCATGGTTCAGTTTTAGTGCCGTTGTTTTTTCTTACATATATTAATGATATTGCAGATACTTTACTATCACTTGCTCGACTATTCGCTGATGATACAGCATTGGCACACTCAACTAAAAATTTGGCAGAATTGGAGCAAGTTATCATTTTGATTTAGAGCAACTAAGACTTTGGTACGAAAAATGGTTAATGTCTTTTAATCCACTTAAAACTGAATAATTATTGTTATCATTTGTTAACCTACCTTATGAACCTAAATTTGAATTTGATGGCAACACGATTCCCTTAGTCAAGTCTCATAAGCATTTAGGAGTTAACATTAGTGAAAACACCAAATGGAGTGTCCATATTGATAGCATTATAAATAAACCTAAAAATTGTTTGTCAACTCTTAGAAACCTAAACTATACTCTAAACAGGAAACTTCTTTAAAAATCATTTTTTGTGTATATTAGGTCTCTTCTAGAATATGCTTGTGAAGTTTAGGATAACTGAACGAAGGAGATACAGAAGCTATTGAAAATACATAGTATGAATCCGTCAGAATTATCACAGGTTAGCCCATCTTTACCTGTAAATCACTCTTATGTCAAGGCTTAAACTGGTAATCCTTAAAAGAACTTTGGGTGTTTTTAAAAACTCTGTCTTTTATATAGAATTCAGTCTTGTAATTCACCAAACTATCTTGTGTCTCTCCTTTCTCCGAAAGTGTATGACTTGTCCACTTATAATTTCAGAAATAAAGATAAATATCAAATTCCCCATTACCGTCTTAGTCTAACTATGTCTTCTTTCATTCCTAACACCTGTAATTTATTGTTAAATCTGTCATTAGAAAAAAGAAATAGCGGCACTTTGAAACAGCTTCAAAATTCTATCAGACCAGCAAAATTACCCTTATATGGGAAGATTTTTAAAAGAGTACTGCGAAAAGAGAGTTAATATTTTACATTGTCGTATCCGTAATGGTGTTAGTATTCTTAATAATGATATATTCCGTGTTAATCTAACTGACAGTCCGTACTGTCGATGTGGACTTACTGTAGTGGACGGGAAACATTTTATTTTTCGTTGTCCATTATACAATGTAGAAAGAAATAAAATGCTGAGACATTCATTTTAGGTATGGTAAAATTACATATGAAAACCTTATGTATGGTGATAATTCCTTGGACGTAAAATTAAATGAAGCTATTTGTAAAAAAATATTATCGATAGCAAAATATTTGTGTAAGTACATATACAGGTCATTATATTTCTACATGTCGACAGTGCCATTTGACTAGCCCTGAGCACCTACTTTGTTCTTTTTTTTTTTAATTTATAATTCTCAACATCCCATTTCCTTTCTGTTATTTGCACCTTTTTTCTTTACTGTCCTTTTTCTTCTTTACTTAAAATTTGAAAAATTCCATTTATGTACTGATTTATTTAGGTCATTGCTAAGTTATGTATATGTATAATTGTATTGTGGAGAGGACATTTATAAGTTGTGACAACTTGCGCCCGATCCTATTGTGTAAGATTTATGCAATAAAATTGATTTAAATTCAAACAGAGCGAAATAAAAGAATTTGAATTAATCTGAATCTAAAATTGCACGTGCAAAGACATTGATTTCACTCTCCGAACGATAATGATATTAATTAGTGTTGGGACGCTACTATTTTATTTTAATTTTTTTTTCGTTGTTAATAAAATGGTTATGCAAATTTTAAAATATTATGATTAGCAGAAAGTAAACGATTTTTAACAGATATCTAAAACAAATAATGCTTTTTATCAGTTATGAAATGAATATCTAGCCATTAAGTCCCTTTGACAATTAGCTTGAACCATTTTTGAAGTTAAGGATTGTGTGATCATATCTTTCAGAGTTTTGCTGATGATAAACTGATAATGAATTGCTGAAAAAACATTTAATTTTCATTTAGCGTAAATTTCTTCTTATCATTTATGACTACCAACATAACAACAAAAACACAATCTCTGATATACCTCTGAACATGTAGACTATTTCCTATACTGTTCTGATATAGTACCTATATACAGGTGGAATACTTACCTGTTCTGTTCATAGTGTGTATTACATTATTTCAATTTAACATAGAGATCTGCAGATGTCGAGAAAGTCGTAGCACAGGTTTGCATATTTTTGAGATACACAAACATACATTTTACTCAAATATATATATGTACAACCTTAAATGCACTCATGAGATATTAAGAAAGTCTATAATAAGAACTGATAATGAATACTCCTTTGGTAAAACTGTTAAAAATATCCAAACACATCATCAAATATAAACCACTGTTACAAGTTAACAAAATATCACTTTAGATATAAGACGGGATGCTCTGTGCTGGATAGCATCAGCTGAACCATTCTCCAAACGTTCTTTGAGTTGGTTGAGGCAGCTGTCAATGTTACGGTAACGTTTTGGTCAGTGTCTCTGTTTACCTCCTGCTACATGTTGGATGAGCGTTATCTTGTTAGTGGCCAGGAACGCCAAGACATTTGAGCTAGGGTAAAGTTGGTTTTGAGTAGCATGAAAACTCATCAGTATGTTGCCTGGGTCTTCAAAATTGACTACAACAAAGGTAAACAGGTGGAGAACAACAACGCAGGTAAACAATTGGGACAACAACACAGGTAAAACAGGTGGGAAAATAACACAGGTAAAACAGGTGGGACAACAACACAGGTAGAACAGGTGGAAAACAACACCACAGGTAAACAGGTGGAGAACAACAAATGTAAACAGGTGGGACAACAACACAACTGGTGGAGAACAACATAGGTAAATCAGGCGGAGAACAATGGCACAGGTAAAACAGGTGGAGAACAACAACACAGGTAAACAAGTTGAAAACAACAACAAAGGCAAACAGGTTGGAGAACAACACAGGTAAACAGGTGGGAGAACAACACAGGTAAACAGGTGGGACAACAACAAATGTCAACAGGTGGGACAACAACACATGTAAACAGATGGGACAACAACACAACAGGTGGAGAACCCCATAGGTAAAACACGTGGAGAACAACAGCACAGGTACAACAGGTGGAGAACAACAACACAGGTAAAACAGGTGGAGAACAACAACACAGGTAAAACAGGTGGGACAACAACACAGGTAAACAGGTGGAGAACAACACAGGTAGAACAGGTGGAAAACAACACAGGTAGAACAGGTGGGACAACAACACAGGTAAAATAGGTGGAGAACAACAACACAGGTAAAACAGGTGGGACAACAACACAGGTAAACAGGTGGAGAACAACACAGGTAGAACAGGTGGAAAACAACACAGGTAGAACAGGTGGGACAACAACACAGGTAAAATAGGTGGAGAACAACAACACAGGTAAAACAGGTGGGACAACAACACAGGTAAAACAGGTGGGACAACAACACAGGTATAACAAGTTGAGAACAACAACAAAGGCAAACAGGTTGGAGAACAACACAGGTAAACAGGTGGGAGAACAACACAGGTAAACAGGTGGGACAACAACACAGGTAAACAGGTGGGACAACAACACAGGTTGAACAGGTGGAAAACAACACAGGTAAAACAGGTTGGACAAAAACACATGTAAACAGGTGGGACAACAACACAACTGGCGGAGAACAACATAGGTAAAACAGGTGGAGAACAACAGCACAGGTAAAACAGGTGGAGAACAACACAGGTAGAACAGGTGGGACAACAACACAGGTAAACAGGTTGGACAACAACACAGGTAGAACAGGTGGAAAACACAACAGGTAAAACAGGTTAGACAACAACATATGTAAACAGGAGGAGAACACAGGTAGAACAGGTGGAGAACAACACAGGTAAAACAGGTGGAGAACAACACAGGTAAACAGGTGGGACAACAACACAGGTAGAACAGTTGGGAACAACAACACCGGTAAAACAGGTGGAGAACAACACCACAGGTAAACAGGTGGAGAACAACAAATGTAAACAGGTGGGACAACAACACAACTGGTGGAGAACAACATAGGTAAAACAGGCGGAGAATAATAGCACAGGTAAAACAGGTGGAGAACAACAACACAGGTAAAACAGGTGGGACAACAACACAGGTATAACAAGTTGAGAACAACAACAACGGCAAACAGGTTGGAGAACAACACAGGTAAACAGGTGGGAGAACAACACAGGTAAACAGGTGGGACAACAACACAGGTAAACAGGTGGGACAACAACACAGGTTGAACAGGTGGAAAACAACACAGGTAAAACAGGTTGGACAAAAACACATGTAAACAGGTGGGACAACAACACAACTGGCGGAGAACAACATAGGTAAAACAGGTGGAGAACAACAGCACAGGTAAAACAGGTGGAGAACAACAACACAGGTAAAACAGGTTGAGAACAACAACACAGGTAAAACAGGTGGGACAACAACACAGGTAAACAGGTGGAGAACAACAACAAAGGTAAAACAGGTTGGAGAACAACACAGGTAAACAGGTGGGACAACAACACAGGTAGAACAGGTGGAAAACAACACCGGTAAAACAGGTTAGACAACAACATATGTAAACAGGTGGAGAACAACACAGGTAGAACAGGTGGGACAACAACACAGGTAAACAGGTTGGACAACAACACAGGTGGAACAAGTGGAAAACAACACAGGTAAAACAGGTTGGACAACAACATATGTAAACAGGAGGAGAACACAGGTAGAATAGGTGGAGAAAAACACAGGTAAACAGGTTGGACAACAACACAGGTAGAACAGATGGGACAACAACACAGGTAAACAGGTGGAGAACAACACAGGTAAACAGGTGGAGAACAACACAGGTAAAACAGGTGGGACAACAACACAGGTAAACAGGTGGAGAACAGCACAAGTAAACAAGTGGAGAACAACACAGGTAAACAGGCAGGACAACAACACAGGTTAAATAGGAACAGACTATAACTACTGTCATAACATTACTGCAGTCATATTTTCTCAAAAATGTGAGAAAGGAGAGCACGCCAGCACTACTATTTTATAGACAAAGAGAGATTTTCAGTTTGTTAGCTGGTGTCTATTTCTGTTTGGTTGCTTATGAATGGAATATAATCAAATCTTTGTTTTTCTCTGTGTCTTATGAAGGAGAGTCCAAGCTGGGGTGGATCGCTGTGTTTCAAGGACTTGCAATAAAGGAGACATGTCAGTAGATCTGGGAGCGTTTGCTGGTATTGCAGTATCAGGTGTATTAATTTTTGGATATTTTCTTTTCAAATTCTTATTAACATGTAAGTACTGCCAAGCTCAAAGGAGGAGTGATCTACCGGAACCGGATGTGACATCACTTGACAAAAATGAAAAAGTGGCAACCCCCCATGTGTCTGTTGATATTGGTAAGAAAATGTCATTATTAAATGTTTTCTATATCTTCAACTGATACATATTATTTTTTTCAATGGAAGAAGTTTCGATTTTGCATAAAAACATCAATCAATATGCTATAGTACTGGTCCAAACAGGTATTCTTTTAAAATACAGTTCTTTCTTTCTTTTCTTTCTTTCTTTCTTTCTTTTATTCTTTCTTTTCTTTCTTTCCGTGTGGAGAAATAGGCTCCCTCAACTCATTAATATTCATGAGATAATGTCGTCAAAATACCCCGTGACGTCACCAGATCTTGAGAGGCGGCAAGCATGGAAACAGGGGGTAGGAAAGGGTAAAATTATAGTTTTCTTTATTTCTTTATCCTGTTTCCAATATTAGATGTTGAGGCAAAACAAAACTTAATTTCTTTTTGTTTGTAAATAATGTCTATGCAGTTTAATGTATGAGCATGTAAATGTATGCTGTTTATTCGACCATTGCGCTTGTTCAGTAGTATTCAAAATAAATTCGTCAGTCACATTTATGACTGTGTTCGACTTTCCATAGCTTTACAAGCGCTCACTGTGATAGCTCCACTGATGGCATCTTACACAGCAGAGATATAATCATTATTGGGGAAAGCGGTTGAAAGGTGACACCGTGTTCAGAATATCTGGGTTTTTTTTCATCAGACCGTTCCTGCAAGTTATAAATCTAGTTACCCCGTTGCTGGCCCCTTCAACTTTTGATCACAAATGCATTAATAACTATTTCAAAGGTCTTAAGAACCTTAACATCTGCATCGTCTTCGGTATTGTTTCCGGAATCTGAAAATATCGAGTCGGTTCTGTAAATTGTAATAAGACGACAAAAGATTATATTGCGCTTACCGCTTCAATCAGTTTTGTGAATCTCGTGGGAACCTCAGAAAAATAACAATGATTATTATTATATTAATGCATACAGAACGGTGTCAGGTGCAATAAGTGACCGGTAAAAATGTGCCTGATCCCTTTAATTCTAAGATTCACTAGTTCTCGGTCCTTCTGCAATGCCTTTATAGTATATTCGAAAACCAAGATGGCGGATATGCAAATTAAGTGAGCGAGCTTAATCTGTCGTATGCTTTGTTTCTTTTTTCCATTTCAGAATTAGATATATCTTTTCTCATTTCAGGAAAACCTATGCAGATTTTCACTTTGCTGCCTTCGTATGAAGAATGTGTAAAGCCACCTGGTTATCTGTTGGACCTTGAAAAGCCACCATCTTACCGAGAGTATCTGTCTTGGACGGTAACAGAAGGTCAGGGAAACTACCCAACAGTCCTAGACTCATGACACTATCATCGAAATCTGTTGCAAAAGTTATGAAATCGCTTTTAGAAATATATGAAGATTTTGGATGGGAAAGAACTACAATGCGAAAAAGAATTAATGTAGCGATATGTGGTTTAAATTATGTTGAAATATGGGATTGGAACGATGATGTTGTTTTCATTGTCTTCATTTTTATGTAGTTTACCTTGTATGAACCTTTTCTTTTATTATAATTTTTCATCTTTTTTTTTTTTTTTTCATTTTGCGATGATGTTGTTTTCATTGTCTTGAGATCCATACTCATTTATCATGTTGGGTTGAAACTGTAATTTAAAATAAATTGATGAAGCTGAATTGATGCCACCTTTCCTCTTTAAATAGATGTATGAGAAGAAAATATATGTTTAAATAAAAAATGTACTAAACCAGGGAGGTTGTATTTACATGTATTCGTGTTGTTGTTGTTGCTGCTGCTTTTGCTGCTGCTGCTGCTGCTGCTGCTGCTGCTGCTGCTGTTGTTGTTGTTGTTGTTGTTGTTGTTGTTAATTGGCTTTTTGTTTTGAATCGAACACTTTTTACCAGGAGTTGTCTTTCCTTAACCATACTGATGTTATGGTTTTGACGTCAACTTTTTTTTCTTTCACCTGAATGGTGTCAAAATTTAAAAAAAAAGAATCTGAATACCATCAGTTTCCGATTGTTTTTTTTTTCAGAGCTTGAGTGGGACATCAAACTTAGAAATCTAGAAGCATAGTTATGTCATTAGAAGATGCAGGTCAGCTGAATGTTTTGATTGTTTCATGTAGAGATCTGACCTTTGAACCAAGACAATTTCGAAAATTAAATGCATCAGTTTCCTCCCAGTATCTCAGCTCTATAACGATAAGAGATACAGAATGAGTTCTTATTTTATTTTTGTGTTTTGTTTTGTCCGGAGTTAAAGCCCAGAGAGATACAGAATGAGTTCTTATTTTATTTTTGTGTTTAGTTTTGTCCGTAGGTAAAGCCCAGAGGGATAGAATATTTCACGAAACTGTTTCCAAGCTACCGGCCATTTTGTATGTCACATGGGTCACAGTTCCCCTATGATTTATCCTTCTCACGGCCCGAAACCTCTGTGTAGAACCTTTATCCTATTTATGAGAAGTGACAATAAGATATTACTTATAGATGGGTATGGAAGGACGGACGGATTGACAACGGACGACAAGACACGCACGACACAGACTCTTCTGATCTGTGACCAATAGCTCTCAAATGATTGCTTAAAGCCATCGGGCCTTGTTATCTAGCATAGATGGAAGTAGATAGAGTAAGCTCATATTTCTGTACAGTTTATTATTGTTTACTGAGAATTCGCTGTGAGTCTTAAGGATCAACAACAATAACAATGCAATGAAAGAGCATATTGTTCAAAACAAGAAAATCATATCCAATTAAAATAAGTACATACATATATGTATGGTGTGAAGTTACAGTACAATGTAAAAATATCATTCCAAGGCTGGCAGACTTACACGAGAAATAAGCGAAACATATGCAATATGACAGAGAAGTAGATAATATAATTCTTCACAATATATTTTCTCTCTGTAAATTTGAGCTTGATGCTGGACTGAACATTATAGATATTAACAGGAGGTTGCCGGCAACAGATACTAATAATAACACATTGACTTGGATCAAATCATTGATACTATGAGTGAGATGAACTTAAAGCTAAACTAGACTGTCAGTTTACTCTTGTAATCAAACATGATCATGTAGACTGACTTTTTCTCACTGGTAGTGTACTAATAAAATATGTTTTTGTAGTAGATCGAACAGGTCCTGAGGTCGTGGTTATTGACATATGTAATTTAAAGACATGTTTACGATTTATGATAATAATATTGGTGATATGTAAGTAAAATTTGTAATTGTTCTTATAACCTTACCTTGTTCTCATTATAATCTTTGTCAAACTATATAGAAATTGTATACGAAAAAATTGCATGGAAAATGGTGACAAGAAAATCTGATGTGTTACAATTTTACAGTTGATTTCGGTTGGTGCGTCATTCCATAAACTTGAAATATTTATTTATGTTGAATGTGACAACATATTACATGTCATCTAGTGACTAATATAGAAATATATATGATGCCAACTAACGGAAGCATCCAAAAAGGTCGTAAAAGTGGCCTGAAATTATAGTTTTGTCTGACCGAACCCTGTTTTTTACCCATTACATTTTTTGAGTAAGCGATAAAGTTCAATAAGAAGGACAGTTTGTTGTGTTCAAAATAAAACGTAAAATTACCAAACGAGCAGATGAGCAGAAAATGTATTCTTTATAAAAGTTATGTAAATTAGATAAACTCCCATAGTTGTAGGTTTCCAGAATTAGACACCAGCTTCTACAAAGTAGACAAGTCCCCAAATAGCCCTGTGATACTGTAGTTCGGAAATTGATAAACAACGAAAACATCTTTGGCTGTACAAGTCCAGTGGATATCCTTAGTAAATATCTTAATATTGCGCGAAACAGACACTTATCAACTGTCTTCCATTGGATAAAGTTCTTTCGATAACTAGCAAACTGTTAAAATACAGCTTGTCAACTCAATACCTGCTTATACTATGGTGGGCACCTGAACGCAGTAAGAATCCCATTTAAACGTTGATTTGTCATATCCCTTAATGAAATGACATGAACTAGATTTTCTTTTGCACTAGCCGACGCTTATATTGACTACACAACTCAAATACTTTCTTTTTCTTTATATTTTATACAATAGTTGAGCTCATATTTGCTTCAATTGCAGTTGTAGAGCAATTGCGTTTAACAAACAAAGTTGTTTGCCCTGGTGTTTGTCGAACATCGCATCACAAGTCGAAAATGATATTCTGCCAGAAATTTTGTACAGGAAAATTATTGAATCCAAGCCATAGAGAAGTATACCTTACTTGTGAAGGACAGGTAAGGTTTCTTACATAGAAAAGATGTACAATATCTGTTCTAGTGGCACATTTTGTGTGCTTGTGTATCTGTAGAGTGTGTATCTACCTTCTCTTGAAATGTGCAAGATGAGTGACGCTGGAGAATTTCTTGTCTCTCAGAGTTACTTCCCTTTGTTTTACTCCCGGTGCAATGAATGACACGCTAGATGTTAGAATGAAATTGAGAGATATTTAAGTATCTCACATTTGTATGTATTGATAAAACTTTTAACTTAGTGCAAAGTTGCATTTTTAACCGAGAAGCAACATCAGAGCTTATCCTCATGAATCCCGACAAACTTAAACTCAAAATACTGAATATGGTAGGGAAACGAGACGGAGAAAAGAATTAGTGAAATAAATAAGATAGATACTGAACAAACTTTACGAAAATTTATATTTGATGAGAAATTAACTTGATAGGGCAGTTCAAAACGTTTAATTGTACACGTCATACCTGTTAAAGTGATTACTCACGGCACTCGCCTCTTTTGATATAGAGAAATTTACAACATTACACAGATTTGTGTGTCACGTGTACCTGTATAATTGAGAAATCGTGTATTCAAGTAAAACATTTTATAAGCTATGATATTACCAAACCGGACTTTAAGATAAATGGAAACAGGTAAGCCGCAAAAAATGGGTAACTATTGGGTCTAGTGGTATTTAAAGCACGACGCCAGCACAATTGAAATCTTTTACAATGGGATATATATAGTCAGCAGGGTGTACGTGTACACTCTACCGTAACGTTAGCTCGGCAAACCTGTTTTAATGTGTGTGAGACGAGGCGTAACATCCGTACACCGGAGGAGGGTGTGATACGTTGATCGGGTGGATGTGAGAATATCCCCCAAATCCCGGACGGAGATGTTAAAAATGTCGGAAAGGGGAGGGGCAACCCTCGCCCTAATTCTCACGCTCGCCGCAGGTAAGATTAATGTTTGGGAGGAATTAGTATTTCTGGGAGTCGTTGGTAGTTTTGTTTAGTGTTAATTCACTGATGTTCAAAACGTAAACAAGAGGTTTTCCCTTATTACTATGTTGTGTAACAAACTTAAAACAAATCTGTTTGAATATACAACCACATATACGTCAAAGTTTAATGTAGATTTTAGTGTCCTGAACGTGTCAATCTAGAGATCTTAGTATCGATTACAGCTAAGTATCACTATCTTCTCTGTGCATGTCATCTGATCTTTTACGGCGATATAGTTAATCACAGCTGCCGAAATTAACTAACCGTAAAACTCACATCCCTGTCCAACAGTTTCTTGTCACTCGTATAAATACAAACATGGAAGTAAACCCCGCCTGTCTACGAACGAACACTCTGGGTTGTTTCATCACGTAACCTTCGGGTACCCCCTGTCTGTATGTATGTGTCTGTATGTATGTATGTATCTTGTCATTAGATACACTAGATAACCTACATGTAGACTTTAACTGTATCAGAGCGGAGACGCAGAAAGCGACTATGCTAACGTGCGAATTATTTAAATGACTACCTTTCCTCACGGAACGGAAATTTTCTGAAATAACTTGCGTCATATATTATTTTTTCATTACCAACAGCAAAATTAATGATATTTCCATATTTACAAAATTTTACTTGAAGAGCTTCGTCACTATTTTTCAATCACAAATGAAATGTTCCTCCATATGGCAACATTTCTTTTCTATTAAGGTAGGATAGTCTTATGCTGTGCGAATTTCTTGATTGACAGGGCAAGTACTACACACTATCAAACACACATTGTCACTCCCATTCATGTTACATCCAACTTTCTCTTTTCTATATACACCCACAATCTATTTTCTATCAAGTCTCTCTTCAATTTCTCCCGATTCATCCGCCCTCTATATAAACCCATACCGTTCATTTTACAACTTGAAGCTAATACTATTTAAACTCCAAGACGTAACGAAAACATGAATCTAAACTCCGGCAACAGTTCGGCAAGGCCAACAGTTCGGCAAGGACAACAGTTCGGTAAGTTGTAAAGCGAAAAACTCTAAAAGAGGGATTTGTAACAGCAGGGCTAATCTGTGCCTTGACACAATACGATAGTCGACATTCTTGTGTATATGACATACCACCACTACAACATTCAATAGGCTATAATTACCATACAATTTCCCCATGGATCATTGTCCGGGCTAAAACTTGTTGTTATGAAGAATTACGCTGTAGCTCACTGGGTTTAACTTAGACCTTGACGTTATCGTGTCTTAATGTAGAAAATCTACTGAAAAAAGTCTTGTAAGCTTTATGGACATATATTTAATACCATGTTGTTTTCCCATTTCCTTTTCAATGACCCACCACTTCATCATCAATGAAAAAAATCCATTATTTTGTTCCGATTTCACAAGTGTTAAGAAGAAAAGGCGGAGTACAGTGCAACAACAGGGAAATCTGTACTAGTCGACGAACAGGTGGTGATATAAGGGCTATACTAAAAACAAGAAACAATGCTAAAAAGATGTTCAGGACAACAGGTCAAAATGTTGACAATTGACGTAAGACTTAGTCTGTTGTATTTGTTTGTCTGGGATTATACCAGCGTAAACCAGGCGGGGTCTCGTTGTAGCTGTGGCAACGCCATCGAAACAACTTGCTATTGAGTCAAAGTGTCTCTCACAAAGACAAAACTACAGTAGCACAAGATGGCCATGCCAGTGATCTCAGCTTTCTAAGAACATTAGATTTCCAAAACGAACCATTTTCTCCCCGCCTGCATCCCTCACGCCAACCACCTACCCCACTAAACCGGACACGTCTTTCTCACAAACAAAGCCTAAACACTTGACACTGTGTTTCATTCTGATCCATTCGTCTGTTATTATTTTTTTTAGAGTTAAACTATGACTAATCGAAAGTGGAACCTTTCATTCACAAGGTCGTCAATTGTTAACACTAAAACATTAGGCGAATACAAATGTTAGTTAAATCGGTAAACCTATTGAAAACTTGACATACAAAGCATGAGGGCGATGGCTTCGTCGGTCGGTGTACTTGACCTTCAGGGGCCATTGGTTTTGTCCTATATACGTTATCCGGTGTACGATCATAACAATTTCATTGATGTAGTAAAGTACATAAAAAGTATTTGAACCTATCTTCCATAAAATGTAATGGACTCTTTCTAATAGAGATCACAGCTGATGATGCCTCAATGTCTCACAGAATGCGTTGTTTTTCTCTCCATTCATTGTTGGAATATCTGGTAGTGGATTTGTCATCAATGGTCATTTTTATCGGATCTAGTAAAATTCTTTTAAATAAGGTAAGTAGTTAAGGCTAGATATACGATTTAATAGAGTCATCGTTTTCTATTCTACATTAAAAATTGTATGTCAATGTCATGACGGGTGTATATTTTGAATTTAAAGATTGAGTTAAAGGCAGTTTACAAATAAGATAAACTCTCTCTTGATACATTAAACTGACACTCACAAATTCACGCGATCTATTGTACTTGAGGTTAACAAGTAATCTAGTCACACCTTCACAGACACATAGTTCATTTCGTTATAATGCTATTCCTAAACGAAAACCCTGGAGAACAACATCAATTTATGATGTCTGTAACCCATCTTTCTGTACTGTGTGTCTCATACTCTTTTTCTATCAGAGCGGGGGTTGCAGAGTGTACATGGAGGTAAATATTGACGATGTTTTAAATATATACAAAGTTATTACCGTTTGTCAACACAATTTTAATTCAAAGTCACTGGGCAAACATGAACAATAGAAAAGTTTACAAGGGGACATCTGGAAAAATATAAAGAGACTAAAACAAGGTGTTCCGGAAGAGTAAGCGTCTTCTATTTCATGAACGAAACCCGTCATAAAAATCTTGGTCAATCCAATTAAGTAATGTCACGCTCTTAAGAGAGAGAAGGTAAAGATTGACAAAACCGCATGTTACTGATAATCAAACACGTTCAACTTCATGCTGCACAAGAATAGCCTATTTCTAAATAAGACATTATAATGACTTTCAAATGTCCCCTTATTCTGCATCCCTTGAAACCCTGTATTGTGAGTTCGTCTGTCAGTCGCCGACATCTTGCACAAAAAGGATGATATTTGGTACAGTCTCTGAAATATCGAATCAACCGAGACATGTAAGCACCATACGATGGGGATGTTGCTATTCAGAAATAGAAAATTCACAAAACAGAAAATAAAATCACCATGCGTATGCAGCTAGGTGGAAAGTTGTCCATCTTGATTTCGTTGAAGGAAGAAATAGAGTAGAGGAAAGCAACTGAAGAAGTGGTCTGCTGTATGCTTGGTTTCCAAAATTGATGGAAATATACGATGGACATTTTCAAGACGTTATCAATATATCGGAAAGTGAAATGGAAGGACTTCGCTTGGCATCTCAAAATGTGTCTTATTAGTTTGTAAAAAGTATATAAAAAGAACCATTAATATTTCGAGCTACGGGTTTATTCTGTCTTTGAAATCATAACGGAATTTCAAGCAACGTGGGTGGTTTGTATAACGGTATTACGGATGCTAGATTGTCAACTTCTCAGCTAAAACCTCTGGTGATTTCTATCATTGTAAAAGCTGCGGGGCAAGGACATACTGGGAAGGTCGAGATTATGATATTCACATTCTCCCTGAAATTGCTGCCCATGTACTGTATATCACGAGAAAACCTTTTAAAATGATAAAGAATTGGCACTGGTGATTTGGAGGATTGAGAAAGATTGGTTTCAATGTGTGCTAAAATCATATAATATTTCGTCGTTGGCTCAACTTACTTGTTATGGTTATCTGCTCAAGTCTATAGCACAAATATACTGCGTTGTTTGTATGTTTTTTCTTTTCTTTTTCTACTTAATTTTCGTATGGCTACATATGAATTTAATTGGCAAATTTAGAGTTGTCGCCCTTTATCATCTCACTATTGGAGTTATTTATATATTTGTATTGTTGTCGATATAGCTGGATAAATAACAAGATTACCTGTGAAATTCAAAACCAAAACAATTTACACAGAAAATTCAGTTTTAAAAAATAAGCACAACTAGTAACTAGAAGTTACACATTTGTTAAGTATCAATTGGTCTGCTTACACACCGGATTGGAATAATGCTTCGTCATAATACATTCTACTTAACTTAAATTGTAATCCTCAAGGAGATTGATAGTAACCCAATACACACGAGCCAGAGTTAAAGGATGAAATATCTTGCTCGATGTCGCGACCACGAACATCGGAGAACGCTATGTAATGAGGAAGAGGGAACTTTACAAAATTTAACATGGATTGAATCGGGCTCAGTCGTCTGGACACCGCTCTGCATGTACATCAATGTACATAGTTTTTTGTAGGTGATTTTAATGTCTGTTTATACGTTTTTGTAGATATTTTATTGAAGAATACATTGAAAGCATGATTTCATGCTAGATTTAAATGTTTGTTGCAGTCGTGGTGAAGGCTGATGTCGAGTGTGGAACAGTTTCATATTTCACCTATAATGCAGCCAATATCCGCGTATCGACTACTGCTCCTCGGGTCTGTTATGGAGAATACTTGTGCTGTGGGGATGCACCAAACGAATACTGCTGCAACAGTTTGTAAGTATTTTGAAGACAACTTTCATCAACATGACTTGTGTGTGAAATGTTCGGTTCCTTGGATTATTGTTTAAATCAGAGTACAAGAATGCATGGCTCTATGTGCTACTAAAGGGTTATTGGGTGTTAAATGTCTCCTTTAAAGGGTTGAAAGATTCAATAAAAAGTTCTTGTAAAAATGCGTTGTTTGGTGGTATTGTTTCCTATACTTATTAACGAAAATACAATAAGACTTTTTTCAACGATTTTAGAGATATGGAAATCTCGAAAAGAAATTTCGATTGCTTGTAATATATAATATTAGAGTTTGGCGATTGATGTTGGTCGATATGAAATCAGAAAACAATTTTATCTATAGAGTTGTAGTCAGTAACATGTGTTTCCATATTTCATCCACAGCTCGCCGGCCGGAATCGCCGCCGTTCTTGTCGCCATCCTCTGTCTGATAGGGGCCATAATTGTCATAGTTATCATCGTATATGTCATTTTCTGGAAACATCGAGGTATGTTATCATTTGTGTGGTCCGATTTGATGTCAAAGTTTTGTCGAAAATTCATGTAATTATGACGTCATATTGGATACATTTTATAACCTGTGACGTCATTTTGTATATATGGTATAAAGTGTGACTCAAAGGGGACGACAAGGAATGCCATCATCTGTGACGTCACGGTAGTTGACAATATCTGCAATTCACATAAGTTGCTGTTGATAGACAAAATTTAAAACTAGCGTGAAAGTAGTAGACAATATACCAACATCATTTAAACTAGTTTTTGGAGTCAATATACCGACAAGGATGACGTGTAGTGATACATATTCGAAGGAAGTAATTTGAATACTTTAGCGACCTCATCTTGATATAGTGGCGTTATCATTTTCGCATTAGAGATAACTTCCTTTGTATATGAACTGTAAACAATAGACAAACGTAAACATCCATCGTAGGCTATGGCTAATTTGGCCAAATATTGCTTTCTCTCTCAAATAAAATCTGCAAACGATGCACTAAAAGCACCCATAACATGTTGCATGTAAAGGTTCTTCGAACCTTTGATAACCACTTGATAGGAGTAAGTGTTGTCTGCTAGAGTCTGCTGACTTGGCCATGCTTTACTTGAATGATGCATGACTGCCTCTCCGGTCTAGAATATGTACGCCAGGCGTCAGGTTTCTTGTTGTAGTGTAGATAGACTGGTAAAGATAATAACTTCCTTCTTCAATTTTCATTATATACGATAGCAGGGGTGGTTTGAGGGACTTCTTTAACGGCCTCCGTAACAAATAGATTTTTTTATTTCTATTGTTTTTACAAAACACATGCTCATTGCATAAATTCGCGCGATAATTTCAAACAAATGTTCCTTACAACAAAGGATTTACTGATATTAATCTAAATGTCTATGGCTATTTATATCATTGAGGCTAGAATGTTGGTAGTAGCAATAGGAATTATCAACCATTCTTTTGTTTTTTCATGCACACCGTCGTTTAGGCGAGGGGAAAAGTCGACTGCTTTCATTATCCTCTTTGAAACAGAAATCATTCTATGTCAAATGATAATATAAACGAATACATGCATTTTTACGGATTGTAACTTGTTTCAGTGGCCGAAGAGGAAGTAATTGTTGAAGAGCCTGTGGAAATGCCCCCGGTGATGCCCCCGGTGGCGCCACCGAAGCAAATGTTAATGCCACCACCAGCGGTGATGCCGCGACCTATGCGCCAGGAAGTTATAGTTCAACCACCTCCTCCTCCGCAGCCTATTGAAATTGTCCCTGTGGTTGCGCCTCCACCTCCCCCTCTGCCTCCAAAGATAGTATTTATGGAAGTTCCCCCACCTCCTCCACAACCGCGACAGACTCTCTACGTGGAGGTACCTCCTTTACCTAAACCAGAAACACCGCCGCCTCCCGTTGTCAAGCTTTCTCTGCCTCCGATTCCCAGACCGAAAACACCACCAGCTCCAATTGTGCATGTTGATCCACCAAAACTTCCTCCCATTCCTGAACCTCCCGCACCAATTGTTTATGTTGAAGCACCGGAATTGCCTGAAATTCCTCGTCCTCCGACACCTATTGTCCACATCGAAGCACCAAAAATGCCACGGATACCAACACCACCAGCGCCTGTTGTCATGATAGATCCTCCAGTACAGCCACGACCGAGAACTCCTCCACCTCCTATCGTAATGATGAACCCTCCGCCGACGCCGCCACCACCACCTCCTCCACAAGTCGTGTATGTTGACGCTCCACGACCCCCGACACCTCAAAGAGAAATCGTCTATGTAGAGCAACCGCAGCCGGAACCACAATTGGTGTACGTAGAACAGGAAAAACCAAGATTACGGAGAATTGAAGTGGAACCCGAACCTACTCGCATTATAGAAACCGTTGAAGTGCCCGATAACATTTATGCACGAAGTCTTCGTCGATCCGCATTTAGAACTTATGAAGAACCCCCTAGAGCCAAGATAGTTGAACTAGATCAAAGTCCAACGATACAACGTCGCACTACAGTGCGTGCAGATGACTATAGTTATGGTTCTCCCCGTATGCGGCGTTCCCAGCGTGCAACCGTTGTCCGAGACACCGATTACCGACAATCACATCGCGCGACTGTGAAGGAGAGAGACGGAGATGAGTACGGAGGCGGAGATGGCTTCGTTTACCGTGGTCTTGGAAGGAGCACGCGACGGGTTGGTGAACCAGAAACAGATGACTACTTCTTCAATTAGTCATCGGCGGGATGAACTGCCGCATCATCAATTCTTAAGTGTTATGTGAAAGGTGTCACTGAAGAATACAGACTTATCACGTGGTAAACGACTACTGCAGAACAAAGTTACTTTGGTGCAAGATAATCCACGTCACGTGATGATAGGTGCGTTTGAGGATAGATGATAATGGAAGGGAAAAGAGTTTTTGTCTTAGGTCGGCGCACGATGTTTTACACATGAAAAAAAAAACGAAATATCGATATCAAATGTTTATTATCATTCAAAAGACAAAAAAAATCCAGTGTTTTGATGTTATATTACATTTGGCAGATAATTTGTCTTCAGTTGATAAAATGTTTAATTCAAATATCTTCTTCACACAATACCACTGGAATGAGAGGGACTTTTATGTAACAGTTAAAGGCTTGATAAAAAAGTATACAGCTTCTTCCTTTAGAAGTGATGACGTTCATGTGCAATTAAAGAACTATTGTCAAAGATTATATAGAATATGTACTTCGGGTTTTACCCAAGGATTAAAAAAATGAAAATTAATTCACTTATTTCACATTTATACAATTGTGTATGTTGTTGAAATTGACTTTCGTTTTTGCATCAATTCAACGTTTTCGAATATGCTTCTTTGCATCTTGCACATTGCCATAGACATTCCGCTTAATGTGTTTACTTGTGTAATATGTAATATTTGAAAAGTTGCAAATGGTTTTGATTAACCAGACCAGACCAGATGTCGCAATGTTGTATTTGGTTCTGAGAGACAAGAGCGGAAGTGTCAAATGATCATATCCGCTTTCGCTTTATATCATGTAAATGCATAGTCACGTAATGTAATTTCATTATCATATTTTGAACGTTCTTTTTATAAACCTAACTAGATAAAGTGTACAATCTTTAAAACGTTAATTATAATAATTTCTAACGGAAATAAACCAGACTTTCTCTTCAGTTACTCATTGGTACATTTCAAAATGTATTATCAGATTGTATTAATTTTGCAACCTATTAAACAGTAGTTGAAACAAAAAGTTGACATCCCTTTACCTTACAGACAGGTCCTTTTATATAACAATTCTATCACGGAATGAAAAATGTTGTTTATGATAGCTGTATGCATATATATATATATAATTAATTAGGCAAAGTGTATTATTAACTCATAACTAAAACAGAATAATTTTGATATGTATTATGATTAAAACATACCTACAATTGAAAGTCATTTTACGATATTACTAGTAAAATCGCCAAATATATTTTTATAATGAATTTGTTGTTTATATTATTTACTTGTATGAAAAAAAAAGACAATTCAACCGCCTTTCTATAAATTTCAACTTCCTGACAATTTTAGGTGTACCTGAAGTATCAACATCCGGTACTGAAATCATACCGATTTGGGCAGTTTGATTAAAAATTATTTTCGATTGAATACATTTTCTTAGGTGAACCAAACGTTTGTTGCAAAATGAAAGTGTTTTAACAAACGTCAAGGAATGGGTCACTACTCTATTTGTGTATATGTTTGTTATTTTACCATCAATATACCACGTGTGAAGTAATAATGACAATTTCGATTGTTACATTTTCTCGACGATCTGCCCTTTATCAAGATACGAAATAATAAAACGGACGCCACATACATAGGACAAAGTTACAATATACAGTGAGAACGATAGTGTACATCCTCGATACTCCAGGCGTTACGCTCACCATCGCTTTCTGCATCCCAGGAACATTTCATGGCAAAAATGAAGGTGCCATGTGCGACATCTTGCGTATAAGACAAGAGGACTACATGTAGTTTGATCGTTTGGTGTTCGTCAAACTAATTTTGAGGTCGTATAACGATATTTTGTACTGGCTTTGAAGTTGGTTGTCGGTCCTTTGAAATCTTCAAAGGATCATGTCCGTCTGAGATTGGTCATTTTCGCTTTCCTGAAATTCGAACTGGATCAATCAAATCATTCTATTACGATATCTTGATAGCAGTCACAAAAGTATTAGAATTAAAGAAAATGTATCATTACTCTCAATTTCGACGGAACTTTACGAAAAACTTTCCGTTTTACTGTGAAAATAGCATAGGTGTGTTAAATTGGAATGAAAATATGCAGTTATCTGGATAATGAAAATCCATTTAGTACTCCTGCATGCATGTCTCACTATATACTGATATTCTATCTTGCTTTTTGAGCTACACGTAGATTATTTTTCTTTGTGCCACAGCTATGATTTTCCAACTGACAAAGAAAAGATGATTAAGACACGGACAATCTGTTAATGTCGAGGAATATTCTAGATTTTCTACAAATCTGAATCGTTGGCAATAGTACAGTACGTTTGCTGACAGAGTAGTAAAACATGGTCTGTTCCTTCGGACTAAAACAGATGGGAGAACATTATTTGAGTGGTGGAGTTGTCGTCGCGTTCAACGTGTAATAGATTATCAGGGTCTAACTCTTTATCAGATAAATAGCTAATGCATTTTTCCATCTTTATCACGACTTTTTGGTTTCTGGCAATAATAACTGAAATATCTAATCTGGACTTGGCATCATTTAAAGGAAAAACACAGGTTTAACAATTGATTATCTAATTTAGGTAACTTATGAGTATACTTTGATGATTAACTTTAATAGTCTGAAGTGAATAGGATATATAAGTATTCCTTTCATTCAGCGGGATATGTTTGTGTTTAGCGGTTGCTAATGGGTCTATCTGTCATACTGTTACGTACAAGAAAACGACTTTAAACAAATCAAAGATTGTACAAAACACACACAAGTGAATAGCATCTTCTGATCATTTAGAGTTAGATAAAGTAGAACAAAACAATTAATTGAACTGCATCATATAGGTGTTTTGTCCATCAAAGACTCTTCAGTGATGCTAAGGGCCAAAAGTTTGAAGAAAATATATATTTTTATGATACTATTTCCACAAATTCTTAATTTTTGAATTATTTAAAAGACTGTGTAAAAGACAAAAATGTAATAACACCATTTTTTTTTAAACATTACAAGTTACTTTACTTACACTCGTGAATCGCTCGTGTACATAACTTAAAATTTCGAACACAAAATGATGGACAAAAATCATCATTTCAAAAAATTATTATCTTTCGTTCTAAACAATGAGTGAAATATTTGTTGTTTCATATAATACAATGTAGAAACTAATTAAAACACATGGTGGTAGGACAAAATGTCGCACCGAAAACATTGGAAAGTCACCAGCCGACGTTATGTCACGTTAGATACTAAAGACATTCATAAGAGGCTTGCACATGTAAATCATTGTCATAAAAAGTGGCGAAATGGTCGTGCATGATGGTTTATAGAATACACTGTTTTGTTGTTAATATATTTTGACATTTCAATGTAGCAATATAAACAGCACTGATTGAGAATAGCAGTTTTAATTAGGATTTTGAGAAATGATTAGTTACTGTTGAATACATATTCCCCTAGCTCGCATTGTAGTTAAGGAAGACTACAAATATATCAATATCAATAGTTCTGTTGAAACAATACCAGACTAAGCACGGCCTGCATTGGTTCCTGTTAGTGACTTGGAGTGGAACAGAAGGAAACAAAGATGTTTTTTCTCAAAAAGCACATGTTCCACAATTTGATGACACATGTTATTTAAACAAATGTTGTGTTGAAAAGAGACACCTAGAAAAGGGTGCTTTTTACAACGTACCTTATAAGCGATGCTATTAAAAAGTTTTGCTAGAGTCAAATAAGTATGTACACGACAACACATACATAATAAAATTTCTGTTGTATGTCAGTATGAATTTAAGAAGAATCATTTCCATCCATAACTAGCAATCAAACAGCCTTGTTCATAACAAAACATGACGTCTATAATTTTGACATTTCTTTCGATCACGTTTGATGTTCCTCACTCGCCTCCTTATCTTCAATATTTAGACACTTCGTATCACTGACGAGTACGTGAAGGACAACTGTGTGATGCAGTTTAATCCATTGTTTGACTCTTAAGTATCTAATTCTATATTTGCATTAAAAGGTGTCTTTTGTATAATCTTTAGCTGGGTAGCAGAACGTAATACAACCCCATGTTTAAAGCTACCACTGCACGTATAAACAGTTCTGCTAACAAAATGTAAATCTCCAGATCACAACTCTTACCGTGTTCAGAGGTCTGTTCAGAACAAACACGTGTAGACAATTTTACTTTATGGATCAGTGACATGTTTTGCATCATCGATCAATAGTTTCCCAAATAGTCACTACATGACGAGCTAAAATTTTATTACGGTCTTTCCGATGTATTTGAATGCTTTTATGTTATGTCGAGTACAACATATCACAGTATACTTACATTTATTGCTGTAACTTACGATGGTATGTTGACAATGCGGCGAGCTGATGTTTGGTTTTCATGCATAAAACTGAGATAAAATATTACTGTTGGGATACATTGTCGTCCCTATCTTTTAACCTTTGCTTAAATACGTATGTATATGTTGAATATCAATTTTCTTGCTCTAATTGCATGCCACTTTAAAGCATCATTCTAACCACCTGGTTATTGTCAATATCCGTTCATCCATAACCAGTTTTAGCGAGCTGTTCGTGTCGACAGGTAATAGCTAAAAATAACTGTCGAGGTCACATATCCTCCAACATGGCGGCACTGGGTATGTTGTTTGTGCTGCTGTCATGTACAGGTAAGAAACTTTTACATACGTTGTTAATCAGAGGCCCGATAAATATTCTTCCACATTGTTTATTGTCATTTATTATATAATTTGGAGAACAAAAGGTGTCGCTAAAGATGGTATTACTAGTATGTAAACATTGTCAGTGAGATATAGGCAAGCTTCTATACATTTGTATAAAATGTTATTTCTGTCTACTTGTAGGCATGTCTACTTTACCCTTACACGCAATATGTCTTTACCACACATTTGTACTGTATGGATATTATCAATTCCCTTGCAACAGGTGGTCAAACCAAAGATTTATGTCATATAATAATGATCACATACGGGTTTTTATCAATAAAGATGCGCCTCAGTGCACTTGCTGAAGGATTCAGCAAAGCGTGTTATCAGAAACATGGCAGGGATACGATTTTATCAATCGGTATTGAAAATAATACTTTCTTTTGTTTGAAAACATTGTTTCTAATTCTTCAAATAATTCGAGAATTGCAAAATGATAAAACAAAATTCTCAAATATTATTGAAAAACCTCTAAATTTATTAACTTTATTTTCTATTTAATTACATGTGCTTTCTTGTGTTGTTTACAAACCCATTTAAATGCATTCTAGTTTAATAAACGAACAAGAAAAATCTTACGTAGAGCATTTTTTCTCCATTATAGATATGGCTTCAGGTAGCGAAAAAAGTGTTATGTTGGTACTTATTACGTAATATGCTAACGAAACTCTAAAATGTTAACAGATATCAAGGTTTGTTAAATCGATATCCAACAATTTGCATTCAGGAGTGGGGTATGCTATAGATCATATAGTTTTACGATATGTACACATTGGTGTAACACTGACAACATTTTTTTTTATTCTTGATATGGAAGAAATCAATAGTAAAGGTAACGGCTGCTCAAACAACTTGTAGGATTTCGAGATATTATCATTATCCAGTCATGGGGGTAATGTACCTCCTCAATCTAGACTTTGTCATTTCTTTTGTTCGGTTAAACTATGTCTTTATCGCTGGGATAAAACAGCTTTATCAAGTAGTTTCAGTTATGATTTGGCTCTATCGTTTATGATATTGCACTACAGTGTATTTGGCTATACTGCATCTGATTCTAAATTTGTATCGATATGTGTTATTCACTTGTGTGTCTTTTCTACAATCTTTGATATAGCAGGTGGTAGACATTGTCGGTTGACTAATTGTTCCAAAGGTTTGCCAAAAACTGCATGTTTTCATTCATTCGAATAGTGGCACGGTTCAGAATATACATATATTCCTGACGCTGTTCTTAAACTATCTGGTATATGCAGACGACGAAATGTATATAATTATGGGGCTAGTGCACAGCACCGTCCACATTTTTCATTCGATCACTTTAGGGTCCAAAATGTAGGCCCTTAGTATCACTGACAAGTCTTAAAAGGACGAAACAGCTGTATGGTGCGTTCTGTTGATTCTTTGGCTCTCTGTTTCTTACTCTAAATTTGTATCAAAAGCTGCTATTCATTTTGTTTTTTTGTACAATCTTAATATTACGGAACAATGTCATCTCAAAGAATAAGTATAGTTATTAATGTTACAGAACAACAAAGAAGAGAACTCAAAGTTATGTATTTATCATTGCTATGGCAACTGAAATAATATTGTAGAAAGTATACAATGTTGTTGATTTTTTCAGGAGTTGCTATTGCGGGGTCCGACTGTTACTCTTTGGATTCCTACTACAATAACGGGGATCAGACGATGTACTACTCTCATAGATCTTTCTACTGTAGTGAAGGATGCTGTGGGGGGTACACTAACACCTACTGTTGTCAGGCCCAGTATGTTGATTACTACGACTACACAAGTTATGTGTAAGTACGGAGTCGGAGCCCTAAGAGATGAAATATGTGTACATATTTTAAAACTGAAAATAAAAAGTAATTAAGACGGTATAACATATATGGCAATATGATATCAACGAAACAAAATTCGTTGGATGTGTATCACAGTAATAGATATATAACAAAGGATATAGATATAACCAAGTCAGGTTTATGTATAGCTCCTTTCGTCTTCATTAACATATAATTATTATTTTTTCGCATGCACTTTTAATTGGATTTTATTAACATATATGTAAGAGGGCAACAAATTGACAAATATACAACTGCACAAAATCCCTATCGTACGTGTACATTACAGACAAAACCCCTATCGTACGTGTACATTACAGACAAAACTCCTATCGTACGTGTACATTACAGACAAAACCCCTATCGTACGTGTACATTACAGACAAAACCCCTATCGTACGTGTACATTACAGACAAAACCCCTATCGTACGTGTACATTACAGACAAAACCCCTATCGTATGTGTCTATTATAGACAAAACCCCTATCGTACGTGTACATTACAGACAAAACCCCTATCGTACGTGTCTATTATAGACAAAACCCCTATCGTACGTGTACATTACAGACAAAACCCCTATCGTACGTGTACATTACAGACAAAACCCCTATCGTACGTGTACATTACAGACAAAACCCCTATCGTACGTGTACATTACAGACAAAACCCCTATCGTACGTGTCTATTATAGACAAAACCCCTATCGTACGTGTACATTACAGACAAAACTCCTATCGTATGTGTCTATTATAGACAAAACCCCTATCGTACGTGTACATTACAGACAAAACCCCTATCGTACGTGTCTATTATAGACAAAACCCCTATCGTACGTGTACATTACAGACAAAACCCCTATCGCATGTGTACATTACAAACAGACAAGTTACGGCTATCAGAGGGATTCTAATAAATAATACGCACCAACAGGACATGCCAGTTGTCAGTTGGCCTTTACAGGTTTTGCCAACACTTAAAAAAGATCGGGCACCCACCTTACAGACATACCACTTTGACTCGGGAAAAGAGAAAGGAAGAAAGAAAGAGTCGTGAAAACAGACATATTGACCAACTGGAGAGCAAGAAAGTTAAAACCAATTAAAAGGTAGTTAGGAGAGTGGGCTCGGAATGAAAGTGAAAGTGAAAACGAAGATAGAAAGAGAATCCCATTTGACAGCCGTAAACAATGAAAAATAAAGTTAACCGCCAAATTATCATTCATGCATCAATGAATCAAAGCCAAACATGCACGCAGACATTCTCGCACTTCACCATGGTATACATGTACCTCATACAAGACACAACTTCCACACATATTGATGCCTTGCAGTTACATACCCTGTTACTGTGGATTTATTTATTTTTTCGAATACTGCAGCTTGATGTTATGTTGTCGTGCCTTATCTTGGTTTCAAGGTCGGATAATATTGGCGGAATCATCGCCGGAATAGTCATAGGCAGTCTAGTTGGAATCGGCCTCTTCATAGCTTTTGTCGTCTTCATTTGTGTGTATTGTGTGAACTCAAATCGTCGCTCAACGCCTGGACGTGTGGTTACATCATCGCCGACTGGAAATCCGGTTACTTACGTCAACACACGTAAGTAGTGATCGCTTAGTTACAGAAAATATTCCGATTACTGTAAAAGATTATAACATTTTTAGTGATGTTGACTTTGTACAGTAATCAGTAGCAAACATTAAGATATGTCTGTTTCTACCAATGTTCAATTATTTACCAAGTTCGTATGTAGTCTCCAGTAGACAGACTGTTACACAATGCTGTTTTATCGTCTCCAGTAGACAGACTGTTACACAATGTTGTTTTATAGTCTCCAGTAGACAGACTGTTACACAATGTTGTTTTATCGTCTCCAGTAGACAGACTGTTACACAGTGTTGTTTTATCGTCTCCAGTAGATAGACTGTTACACAATGTTGTTTTATCGTCTCCAGTAGATATACTGTTACATAATGCTGTTATATCGTCTCCAGTAGACATACTGTTACACAATGTTGTTATATCGTCTCCAGTAAATATACTGTTACACAATGTTGTTTTATAGTCTCCAGTAGACAGACTGTTACACAATGTTGCTGTTTTATCGTCTCCTGAAGACAGACTGTTACACAATGTTGTTTTATCGTCTCATGAAGACAGACTGTTACACAATGTTGTTTTATCGTCTCCAGTAGACAGACTGTTACACAATGTTGTTTTATCGTCTCCAGTAGACAGACTGTTACACAATGTTGTTTTATCGTCTCCAGTAGACAGACTGTTACACAATGTTGTTTTATCGTCTCCAGTAGACAGACTGTTACACACTGTCGTTTTATCGTCTCCAGTAGATATATTGCATTGTTATATGATTTTTTTTCCGACAGTGGCTTTCTGCTTATACAGTTTAACATTCTGACATAGTTTGTCTCAATTTAATGTCAATCTATGCATTAAGAACCATTAAAACATTTATGTCAGTCAGATATACGTTCCAAATCAAACCTTTTTGGGTAAATTAACTCCAGGTGGTGTGACTTATGTGGAGGTAAGGGCATGATGAAGTGCATGGGTTCTGCATGTACATGACAGCAGTATGACATAAAACGAATTATCGGGTCGTCAGCAATATATATTTATTTTATTTACCGTGCTTTATATCCATTTACGACCTTTTAGCATTTTAGTGGCCGAAAAAGCAGTATATTAGAATACAGTGTAATTTAAGACTGTTGAATTCGTAAAACGCTGATGCGGCCAGGTCTTAATACCAAATTCTACTGTGGTTCTATTAATACCATCTAGAAAAATCCTACCCCAAAACCCAGTCCAGAATTACGATAGATAATTCATATCTCAAGAACGAAAAATCAAATGAATTTCGATTTTAAACAAAAATCTTATAATTATTTGAAAATCTGACACTTTGAATATCATATAACAGAATAGGTTTTTTCTTTATATTATACCATGGAATATCATAGGAAATTCAAACTATACAAATAACTTACCTAAAAAACACATTTCTTACTGATATATATAAAGAAAATTGTTAAAAAAACACAAACAAGAAAAAGTTAAGTTAACATTTTGTATAAAGTTTTCACAGCTTAGCTGTTATGCAAAATGCTCACTTAACTTTTTCTTGTGTGGTTTTTAACAATTTTTTTGATATTATCACTTGCGTATCGTCATTAACTATATATATATATTACATAGATAAATCGTGTATCACTTACGGATTGAGCTTGTGAACTTCTGTAGGATAAAATGCCCTGAAAAACAGCGAACCGTCAAGAACTGATATATCGGAAGTATTTGGCATGTTAAGTTCGGGCTCTGGTCCAAGAAATAGATTTATTGTAATGATATATTTGTTCAGCATGTTTTGGACTAGTCTCTGTTGGTCGTGATTTTGAATGTACAATAAGCATGCTAACTTACACACAAACGTGTACAAAGCTTGAATATAAAAATAGTCTATAGTTTATATTGCCTTGTTTGCTGTTTTCGGTTTTCTATTTGCAACTTGCAGAAGATGTGAATTATCTTTACTTCTTAAACGAGTTTGCATGGCCTTGATCATGGAAATGCTGTTATGCGAGTAAATCTGTTTAAAACACAAACTATCGCAACCAATATTCTAACATATCTGCCATTCAAAAATATTACCCGTATTATGACGACCTGTTCGTTATAACATTCATCATTGAAAGGTACTTTTCCTAATAAGACAGGTTCTAAATCAAATTCAACTTCCAAAGTATTAAGAGTGTGTAAAGAATGTCCTTTGTAAAAAATAAATCGATTCTGATAAAAATACATGCAATATATAATATCCATTATCAGGCGGGTCGGATGTTACGGGTGTCTGAGTTTCCTGTACAGAGTATTGCTCTTTAAGTTCAATACGAGGAAATGAGCTTTAACTGTACTTAATATTATGGTGTAACATAGACTAAACAAAGGAAATATGTAGTCATTATTTCTACCAACAAAATGTGGTAGATGACGGTTAAAGACACCCTCAGTTAGATCGTAAATATATCTTATTAAAAATGTTTTTAATTAGTTGATCGGAAGAAAACTGCTTTACATTCTCACATTCTGTGTGAGCGAAGTTTAGATATAACACAAGAGGCCAGTCTTTGAGCCTTCTCTAACTGCCGGAGTTATGTGTGGTTTTGCCTTTGTCCTACCAACAGCCATGGTATTATAAGACTATCCAGATTTGGGTGGTAGAGGAAAGCCTGGGTTCCCGGAGGAAAGCCACTGATCTATTGTCGTATGAGTGAAGCATTCTCTAGAATTGTTAAATTGAAGACAAAACAAAGAGGGTAGCTTTCGTTCAATATTTGCATTCATCTATAGTTTGATGTTTTGACACCTTAACTTAGCAATGGAATAAAAAAGAACTCATTAGCATTGATAGTAATTTGAATATATAAAGTTAGAATATCTCCCGTAAAATTTAATAAATCTTCATAAATGTCCACAGAAAATCGTTAAGGCTATGTATTTGTCTTATTTTAATATCTCCAACTGAAATTCTTTTGAGGTTGAAGACCGAGAGGGGATCAATATCAAATAAAAGTGTCGTCCTTGGAAACAAATACATGTGTTGTCACGTGCAGTGTATATTTTCAATGACACATATCAACATAATCCAATTGACGCATGTAAAGAAAAAACGCTACAGTTTCAAAAAAACCTTTCTTTTATTTTATTTTCTTGTATTTAAAATGACAATTTCTGTTCACTTTCTAAAACTTTCGTCACCTTGTAAAACAATTTCATGACAGGGGCTAATTTAATTGATTATGGTCAATGGAGACAAATTGTATTTTAATGAGAAATGCAGGCAGTTGAAGCTGTTATTTCAACTTGCTTTTACTGATTCCGTTAACACGTAAACTGCGTCTAGAATTATCACACAACTGTATTTGCTTTAGATTCGACGAAAGGAAAAGCAACATTTCTATTGTCTTCAATGGTAATACCGCAGTTTTATCTACGTAAAGTGTAACTTTATCTATCTATATATACTCTTTACCAGAGAATGGTTATGTCGACTCAAAAGAACTTTATCAACTGTTTGACGATCTTGATTTTGGATCAGTAAGGTACACACCGATTATATCTTCGTATTCTTTAAAGCTATTAGCGGCTACAAGGCGATAACCGTTAAAAACGACTGTTTTCGAAACATTTCAATCACAAACACAGTCTGATCATTAAATTGTTTTTACTGAAGGAAATATCCATTATATCTGGGATTTTAGTTTAAAACATTTTAACCTTCAAATACCTTCCATCAGGCGCCTTTCTAGCTTCACACTCCAGACTTTTATGTTTCACCAACAATTCATTTGACATTTACGGTAAAAAAAGGGGGGTGTTTTTCACTATTTTCTTCAACGACAATATCAGTTATCGGTATTCCCTATTATTGCTTTTTTCGATATCAGAAAAACATATATACAGCGTTTGGTGCAAACTTTAAGGACTCCTGCATACTAGCATCTGAATTACTTTTCTCTCCCTTTCAGATACTGTCCAGTCGGGATTTATAAGCCAGCCAGGTTTTCAGAACTATACAAACCAAGGATTTACACCTACAGCTGGTTTTACAAGCACATCGGTTCCTTACACTCCAGGCGTAACGAACAGTGGGGGACTTGGAGTGGCGTCGTATGGTGGAAATGGAGGGGGCGGAAATGGATTTGGGGTTGGAGGAGATGGATTTGGGAGCGGAGGAGATGGATTTGGAGGTAGTGGAGGTGGATTTGGAGGTAGTGGAGGTGGGTTTGGAGGAGACGGGGGTGGAGGAAGTGGGTTTGGAGGTAGTGGAGGTGGGTTCGGAGGAGGTGGTGGAGGAGACGGAGGAGGTTGTGGAGGTGGAGGAGGGGGAGGATGCGGAGGGGGAGGGGATGGAGGAGGTGGATGTTGAGAAACGACAGACGTGAAGGAGGGAACAAAGAGATGGTTTTGTGACGAACGTCGAAGTAGAGGCCAGGAAAAAAGGGGAAAATCGGCATCGAAAAGAAAAAGTAATGTCGTTTTGAGACGATACGAAAGTGTTAAAATTAATTTGTAAATAGCGTAAGTACCAGGAATCAGGCAAAATCATTAATATTTATAGTAACATGATTGCAAATTTTATATTCTTCTGGAATACTCTGACATTGATCTGTTTTCAGTTGAGATTTAAAGGGAAATAAATGTGAACATTTTAAAGGCAAATTCAACACACGCTATATCCCAAGGCCAGTTAAAAATAATAATTATGATAATAATGGCGCAAGTGTATTAATACTATATATCAAGATCATATTTAAAAAGAATTAGTATCCCGAAAATGGATCAGTGTGTTACTGTCTAGTTCATGATTATAAACACATTCAGTTTGCCTCCAATGTTTATCCAATCGGGATTCGAAAGTTTTGATTGTTGGTGACGATAGAATGGCATTAGGAAATGAATTCCAGTGGTTTACCACCCGTTCACAGAAAAAGATACTTCCTCAGATTTAGTTTGCTCCTTCCTTTTAATAGTTTTCAATCATTTCAATAGTTTTCAATCATGATTAGTTTTCATCTGGACAATA